CAATCAGGTCAACATGACAGAGACATTATGTAGGCATCAAGTGAGTCCTAATAGAATGGGTCAAAAAGGGTACTCTGCCTCTGCACTTTTCTTTCCAAGAAACCATAACCCCACTCTAATTATGAGTAAGACAACAGACATAGCCGTATTTGAGGATATTCTACCAGATACCTGTTTAATACTCCTTAAGACCATCAAGGTGATTGGTGGGGAATCAAAAAAAAAAAAAAAAGGAGGAAAGACTGAGAAACTGTCATAGGCCAGAGGAGACAGGGAAGAAATGCCAACTCAATGTAATGTGGTATCCAGGACTGAATCCAGGAATAGACTTAAGGAATGAGAATTTGCAGAGGTCTGGGCATATCAAACATGGACTTAGAGTTTCCATACACCATGTTTTTAAGTGTCTTGTCATCATAGCAGATGTTAATACTAACAATAAAAACACATTGAATGATTATATACATTTTCTTCCCCAAACCTTTCTAAGTTACAATTGGTCATACATATAAAAGGGTTTCCAATCTGTGAATTCAATATTTCAGTTATTTTCAATCCACAGTAGTTGGATTATAACTGACCATTTAACTCCCCCCGCCCCGCAAAAAAATGAAAAGTAAGATGTTTTTCTTGTGATTATTCTCTGAACAATGCAGTATAATAATTATGTACATTACTTGTGTTACAAGTAATCTAGAGATGATTAAAACTATATGGGAGGATGTGCATAGGTTATAAGCAAACAATACTTTATATTTAAGGAGCTTGTATATCCATAGATTTCGGTATCCACAGGGGATCCTGGAACCAATCTGCTGCTGATACCAAGGAAAACTACATTTATTACTGTTTTCAATTCTGTTTTTGAAAGCAAGAAAGGGAGTTGGAGGGTGTTGCTCCAGTTTGAAGGAGGTCAGCCCTGTGTTAGTCAGCTTTTTGTCACTGATCAAAATACCTGACAAGAACAACTTAGAGGAGGGAAAGTGTACTTTCGGCTCATAGTTTTGGAGATTTATTCCATGGTCAGCTAACTCCATTGCTTTGGGCCCAAAGTAAGACAGAATATCACAGTGGAAGGGTATGGTGGAGAAAAGATGGAGGAAATCTATCAGCTCACAGCATCCAGAAAGTAGAGAGAGAGAGAGAGAGAGAGAGAGAGAGAGAGAGAGAGAGAGAGAGAGAGAGAGAGAAGAGCCCACGAGGAGTCAGGAAGAAAATACAATAACCAAGGACACACCTGCAATTACCTACTTTCTCCAGCTATGCCCCACCTATCTACAATTACCTCCCAAAAGTCCATTAAAATTATTGATACAACAAATGGAATAATCCATTGTTTAGTTTATAGTTCTCATAATTTAATGATTTCACCTTTGAACAGTTATGCATAATAATAACACATGATCTTTTGGGGTGACATATATAAACCATAACAAGTCCCTTACACTGATCCTCTCATTATGGACCTGAAGATTGATAGGGCGTGTGACAGTAGAGTTCTTTAACAACTGCAACCATAAAAATCATAGCTGCCACTTTTGGAAAGCATGGTAATGTGCCAGACTAAGCACCAGGAGTTTCATATACAACATTATATTTCAGCCTCAGCACTCTATGGGATTGCAATTATATTCTCATTTTAAAGATGAGAGATTTGATCACCAGAGAAATTATTTTGCCAAGGTTGCAACTGAGATCCAAATACAAACATTTATAACTTTTCTACTAAATCACTTATCAAGGAAATTCCATTAGTGAAAATGCCTAAATTGCTGTACCTAATTAGAGCGCAATCCTAATATCATTAGTCTCAACCAATAAACTGAGAAAGTATACATTATATACTATGTGCATCCAGATAATATCCATTATATTGAGAAAAGCATTGCTGAAAAATTATATTTGATACACAATTATCAAATGTTAGCCCCTCTTATCTTTATACACTGTATCTGTTTTCTGTTGGCCCCAAATTGATCTTATCTATTTGTATTTTACGCTCTAAACTCTTGCGAACTACCATAGCAATTCAAAAATGTACAGTAAATGCCAAAAGTAAAGTTTAATCAGTTTCACAGGATAGTGTTAAATTTTGGCCAGTGTCAAGTTATTGTAGATATAAAAATATATGTCATGCCAATTAATCTCTTTTAAAGACAGAAATAAAATGGATTTTCAAAAACTGATTATTTTTTGCCTAGACTGTATGGTTACATGCTTTATTAATGATACATTTATGTACTTCATTCAGATGACAGTAGTGATTTTCTGCTGTCATTATTATAGATTTGCTTAAGATTTTAATACCTCCCATTGCAAATATATGTCTATCACTCAATGTAAGTTGCAAAATATTACTAGAGATCCATTATTTTTTTATTATTTTCAAAAATTGCAAACTATTCATTTAGAAGTTTGGAATAAGAAAGAGCATAAGACAGTGTTCTTTATAACTAGAAGCTTCTAAAAATCAATTTAATCAATTTAACATGGCCACTCTCTCTATACCTTCTACCTCTTCAGTTGAATAGACTTTCCCCTCTTACAAATCATAACCATCAACCTGAAGCTTTATAACCAGTGAGGGAGACTCCAGGTGTTTTAAGTAAGTCTAAACTTTATCAGCAAGAGCTGAGGGAGGAACTGTGAAGGACACAACCTGTCCATGCTGCTAGTTTTAGGGGGAATGTCCCCAGGTGAGATGGAGCTAAATGGTAGGGGAATGGGAAGTATTTGAAATGGTCTAGTCACCTTTCTCTATGCTAAAATAAGCAGAGCAACTAAAGGGGCTGCCATTTTGTTTTATCACTCTGCACTGCAGACAACAGCAAGGCTTAGTTAGACCATAAACATCCCAGCAAACATCCCAACTTGCAATATGAATGATATGAACAGCCAGCCCTTCAGACACCCTAGCAAGAATCTAGTAAATGGTGATGGCAATCACCTCTGTGTGTGCCTGAATAAATGAAAGAACGAAAAGGACTCACTCCCTCTGTTTCTTAAAACTCAGATCTTTAGAATAATTCCTTTAGTGCCCACTTTGGGAGTTTACTTGCCCTTTTGGGTTCCAAAGACACTGCTGATTTCATTGACCTATATTAATGCCAAGTTCCTTCTCCCAATTTAAGAAGTTTTCTCACATAGAAGTTTGATAACATATGATGAGTAAAGCTCTTGCCAGGAAATGTCATCTTCCTGGAAAAAAACTCAAATCACAATTGCCTCTGGCAACAGTGGACAGATAACGCCACAGGAAAGATAGGACAGATCCCTGAAACCATAGATAAGCTTCAAATTTCATTTTGGCCCAAAATATCCAAGTATATCCCCACTCCCAACTGAGAACTGACTGTAAATTGCAAAATATTACTAGAGATCCATTATTTTTTATTATTTTCAAAAATTGCAAACTATTCATTTAGAAGTTTAGAATAAGAAAGAGCATAAAACAGTGTTCTTTATAACTAGAAGCTTCTAAAAATCAATTTAATTTACACTGTAGCTATACCTCCCATTGCAAATATATATGGATTCCATTGGATTCTGGTGCAGGTCTGTTATTTATAATCTCTTTACCTTAGAAAATGTAAGATGATGTTAACAAAAGGAAGAAATGCAGTTGCAGAAAATTATCCCTACTTTAGCTCCCACTTTCCTACCAAAGCAGTGGAAGAGAATGGTAGAAGTGAGAGCTGAGAAGAAAATGAAGGTCTGGATGTTTCAGGAAAACATCCAAAAGGGTCGAGGAAGCTGAAGCAGTAGAGAGAATTGAGAAAGTAGAGATTTCACCGGAGAACTCTCTAGCAGATTCTATAACGAGGCCACCAGGGACAAGGGTCCTTGCTCACTGCCAACCCAGGATTGTAGAAGAGCTTGCATCCACCTGAGACTGTCCTTGGATCTCAGGATTTCCATCCACTACCACTCTCTTCAGATCAGAGCCAGAATTCAGAACATGGAAGTCACTGACCCAGGAATGCTTCTCCTACTCCACTCCTTCCCATTTTAACTAGTTCCTCTTCTACACTTCTGGTCAGTCCACATTGGGACACCAATTGGGATTTGGTTAATAATCTTTAATTCTCTATAAAACTCCTTTTTTAAAATTTTTTTTTAGTTATTGATAGACACGATACCTTTATTTTATTTGTTTTCATTTTTATGTGGTGCTGGGGAACCCAGTGCCTCATGCATTCTAGGCAAGTGCTCTACCACTGAGCCACAGTCCTGGCCCCATAAAACTCCTTTCTTTTTGGCTGCATCCTTGTCTGTTCACCTAGACACTGGTCTTCATCACCATCCTTGATCTTACTATGCTTGACTATTGTCCTCCACAATTAAGAAGGAGTTCAGAATTTTAGAATTTTAAGATAGTGACCAGAATGTAAAAAGTGTCCTATAAATACTGATTGAGGAGGGAAATTGACAATGAGCTATGTGTTCAATGAAGTATACAGAAAATATATACATGGAGAATTCAGATGTTGACTCAATTTGAGACTTCAGAAACCATGGCACCTTATCCTCCGTGAGTTACTCTATCGACACAGCATTCTGCATCCTGTGAGTTGTTCTTTGACATCACATCAGGGCATGGTAACTAAAAATGACGGATGTGCCTTCATGGCTAACGTTGCCACCTTTGTGTAAGAAGGAGGGAAGTATTTGATAATGCAGGCTCCAGAGAGAGAACCGTGTTGCCTCGAGGGTTTGCAGGTGTTCCTCTGCCATGGTCTTACCTGCTTTCCGCTTCCCTCACTGCAGGCAATGCTGGGACTTAGAGTGGTGAACGAGCTGGGAGCTCCTGACCTGGCTCCTGGAGCTGAGTGATTGGACTTCCCAATTCTGTTCTCTCCAGCCCACAGATCATCATTTGGAGTTTGCATGTTACTGTGTTTCCCTAGCCATGGTCTAGTGACTCTGCCCATCAAACCAAAGAAGGTCAAGAAGCTGAAGACAAGCTGATCTTAGGAAACCTACAAGCATCAGCAACTTACAAGCTTCCCGGAGTTTCTCTTTGTCGTAGTGGAATCCTTCATAGTCTTGTAAACTGATTTTGTTCACCCGGATCCTCAGGCGATCTGGGACAGACTGGGGACTGCAAAACAAGAACCGAGTGGTCAGATACAAATGAGAGAGAAGAACTGGGAGTCATGCACCTGGAGGGACTAGGGACAAGGTCATCTCCTTCTGGCTTAGAAGAAAAAGTTCACATTCAACCGAGAATTGCAGGTTTACCAGAAAACAAGTGATTACCTTGAGAATGCCTCTCCAGAAACCTAACATTCCTGCAATTTAGCTAATAACATAAAAACCAGCAGAAAAAAAGCCCTTTGGAGACAACTTTATATAATATTTGATATTAATTTATTAAAATGTTAAGGAAAACGTGTTTTGTTACATAACAAATTAGATGTGGCTAATTGGAAATAGAATCAGGGTGTTACTATGAAAAATGAAAGGTGAATAGGTCCACAGTAGTGGAACTTGGTCAGTGGTGGCCTGACCCTCGGAAGAAAGAGAAAAACCAATAAAAAGGACAGAATAAGAATCCAGAAAGCACAGAACTACAATTGAAAGAGCTCTCCTCGATTGAATCATCTCTGAAAACACCTGTCACTTAGAGCATGTTACAGTAAGCACTGCCTATGAAGGTACCTCTGAGCTTCCCCAAATAAAATGTCAATAGATATAGAGTACTTTCCTTGTTTCATTAGGCAGAGAATGAAGTATGTGATTCATCTGGAAGGCATTTAACCCACACTGGTTCAGGACACATATTCAACAAAGGGGACAGCACCAAACTTCCTGAAGCTTCCTGTTCACCCTCAGAAAGTTGGTAACTAGATGCCGCAGTCTGGCTGTGCACAATTCAGGAGCCACTTGTCAAAAGAAACTAACTTTATTTTTAGAACTACAAACGCCAAACAAAACAGCTCCTCAGGAAAAACCCTCAGAGCCCAACTGCCACCACCGGCTTCCACAAGCCTCTCACCCCCACACCAGCCTCTC